CTAAGATTGGTAGTTGTGTGAATAAGGACAATTAATTATCCCATTTGCATTCCAATTGGTTAAAAAAGCAATTAATTATATATGTATGTATATAGGCAAGCAAAGTCTAAATGATAATTAAAGTCATATGTCATTAGCATGGACATGAGGGAGATATAAGTTTATATTATAAAATCTCTGGAAATATTAATATTTGTGCTGTTAAGTTTTTATACCGGGACTTAACGGTTTAATATATCATATTGCCTTTGTTTATCTTACGGTATTTTCGCTAGTTGGCGCTGAGAGCGCGTTGTTCTAGTTCTAGTCGCATCGGGTCATACCTTTACCTTACCTATACCTTTTTTGAGTCATCAAAAAAAAAAAATAATAATAATAATTTATGAACAATTGAAAATTCAATAAAAATATCGTAATAGTTTTTTGACAACCTAATATTATTTTCAGGCTTTGTGCAAATACTTAAATTAAGTATATTCAGAAAAAATGAGTATTAAAATTAAAATATTCAGAGAATCAAATTTTAAAATTTAATAATTTTTTTTTTTAAATTTTTGCCAACGGCATTGCCTATCGGCCTAAGTCATCACGTGCAGCCAAGCAATTACTGGCACATAACAAGTGTTTTCTTAAAACAATTACAACATATTGGACTTTATGTTTAGAAAATTTACGAAAACAAGCTATTTGGTAGTAACTAGAGTTTCATGCATAATTCAGCAATTTTAAAGCCAGTGCAACATCGTCCTTAGCAGCTATATTATACCCTAATATACGTGTGTGTGTAAGCACATAGCCGTGTGTATATGTATACAAGCTTTTTGTTTGTAGAGCCCATAGCAATTGCGCCGGCAATTCGATACTTCCACTTGACTGCGCCAAATTGTAGGTTATATTGCTTGCATGCTCCGCTCTGGGTCGTTGACTTTCGCTCGAGCGTTGAAAATTCAGACAATATGGCCGATGAGTCTAATGGCTTTAACATAATTTAGGGCGCTTGTAGAAGAGGTAGTAGCGTACAATCTCATTCGCAAACATAACAGATATTATTGAATATCGGTTCAATAAAATAGAACTACTGGTGCTTTAAATAGAACTACATTTTCGGTGTTTTTGGTACTTTTGAAGAATACTGATATTTTGACTTTGATTAATTTTTCGTGTAAGTTATTTGCGTATCTTCTATAGTACGAGCCTTAATAATTATATGAAACTTTTTACACAGGCACAGATGTATATTTATTACCCTTTTTGTGTAAAAGAAAATAAAAAAAAAATATTACCTTTAATTAATATAATATTAACTTTCGTTATATATTATTTGAGTCGCCCTGTATTAAAATATAACATCAAGGAATGCAGCCTTGCGCTTTTGTTTACATTCGCGGTTAAGTGAATAAATTGCTGTGAACAAGCAAATCAGAACAATTAAGTTATTGTTTTCTCTAAAATTCCAGTTAAAATGTAATTTAATATTCTGAAATCAAAAGTGTAAAGTGAAATTAATATATTTAAGTAATTAATTGTGTAATGCCTATAAATATCGCGTGTGAAGCAAAAAGTCTCAAATTGTGCATTGCTACGTGAGTGAGAGCAAATTTTCCGTATGCAATTGAAAATTGCCAATCTTTGGTGGAAAAGTGGAAAAAATGTGTGAATTGTGTTTTAAAATATTTTTGATGCCAAAAAATTATGTTATTAAATGAAATAAGCTTTTTTGTTATATTTTTTACATATTGATAAAAGATTGTGCATCGTTTGTGGTTCGTTTATGTTCGCAGATGAATGCCAAAACATGTTCATGCGTGTTACAGGTAAGTTGATAAGGAAATGCAATGTTATTGGGTTTATTTATTCTTATATACATACGTTATTTTATAATTCTATGTGATATATTTGAGTAAGTCTAAATAATATTTGTGTGAAATAAATATGTGCATAAATACAGATGATATCATCGCCATTTAATTAAAAGGATAGTGTTTCGATTCAATTTATTTTTATCCAAGGTAATTAAGTTTGCCATGAAGTACGTAAGACATAGCAGGAAACGTAGGAGACCCTACAAATTGTATATGTATATGTATGTATGTATATGTAAATGAGCAGCGACGACCTGAGACGATTTAGCCATATCCGTTTGCATATACGTAAAATTTTCCTTGGTTTTCGAGTTATCGATATGAAATTTTGGTCATAACTTTTTCTCCTCAATAAGCTTTTTTGATTCATATTATGTTCTCTTAAGCTTCATAGAAGATATGTATATTGGAACGTCAAGCATCGTGGCTAGATAGGATAARGAAGTCAATGGACGAATTTCCAGGCTTAATTGTATATAGAAGTTTCCAAAAATATAACTGTTAAGGAAGTATAGGTGTTGAAGGATCTTTCTTTATATTAAAACTTTCAATATGCTCTAAATCATGAAAAATACATGAATTGTATTCCCCTCTTGGAAAAAAATGAACTTTTCAGTACGTATATTCCTCGTGGTGTCTCTATTGTCGATATAGGGAACTGTGTTGAGTCCAGGGTTTCTAWGYATAAGCTAAAGTTTTCATATAGGTTCTATACTTTGACCATTGGAGGCTCATCATTATTATTGTGGAGAGCCTTTTAGTTAGTTTAGTGGGAAATGCTTGGTTTATTTCTGGTTAGTTGCTTCTTTAAAAGTGAACAAGAGGTGTTATTGTACTCGTCGTGAGTATACATAGAAGCTGCTTCGACAATAGTGGTACAGAATTCAATTGAAGTCAAAATGTCAATAGCCGCTTAAAAAATGCTTAAGTTCGCGATCATTAGTTCACGAGATGTCATTTAAGGTCACCTTTGAGGAATTTTATGGGAAAGATTTTGCGTTCAATTAAAGRYAGAGATYGGAAATMTTTTTATAGCAAATATGAATGGTTTCTAAAGGTATTGTTAATTGTCACTTTTAGACAAACTCTTCAAGATCGTTATCTGATCACGGCTGTGACTATTTGGATGTTGAGTTTACGAGGCGGTTTCTACTCGATGCTTKGTCTAAACTATGTGTTTCTCTGTCAGTTAAGAAGCACTGACTCTAAAATTCTWTCTTTGAACTGTTTTCTTTGTATGGACCTCGGTGGTTGTGGCAATACTAAATAATAATTTTCCATCCCCGATGAGCAATAKCATTCGAAACATTTTAAATCAATATTATTATTATATTGTATAAACTAAGTCATAATATATTGTACTATAGTGAATCAGCGTTACTTCAATAAGAAGAAAGTGTCACAATGAATAATAGGTAAACATCAAGTCGAAATAAACTATAAAAATGCTTAACAAAAAATCTTTCGAAATTTTAAAAACAAGACAAAATCTACAGGAAACCAAAGCAAAATGTCACAGTCACGTGACAGGCGAAGAAGTAGGAGAAAATACAGTCGCCAACCGCTCATAAATAAATCAACACAAACCGAACAAGAGCGTTCAACGAATCAGACGCGCACAATAAATGGTTCGGTTATTTTGAAAATCACCGACTATACAAAACTTGATGATAACGAACAGAGCAGCATAGAGGAGTCATCTCCAAGCGACACATCGTCGCGTGGTTCATCGCTTTCAAAATCGAAAAGACATGAAAGTACGCCGATAAATGTTAAAAGTGATGGCAGCCAAACAAAGAAAGATTGGCGCTATGCAATTGTAGACCCAGCTGAGCTGTCTATGGATTCGGATGATTCGATTAATTCAAATACGCAATCATATGACTATTTAGAACGCGAGCCGTTGGTGACATCATTGACAGATCTAAGACTGAGCGATAGYGAAGAGGATCAACAACAGTTATACTTAACCGAGATGACAAGCAATGAGGAAAAATTGGCCAAACTGTAGATCTAGAAGTTTTGGCTTTTGAATATTTTTTGGCAATTACTTTCTTCTAGTTTTTCGAAAACTAAATAAATCAAAGCGGAATGAATAATCAATTACGATTCGTTCAATTCATACAGAAAATATCAGCGAAAAAGCAAAAAAATTAGGGATAGTCTGGTCCTAAAAGAAATATTATCGATAATATTGTTGCYAATGCTTAGGCTTTAGKCATTAGAAGTGCTTAAATTATATTAAGGMGAAAGAAATTAAAATGTTTTATTCTGCTGGTAATTTAAGAAACTCTCATTCGAAGGAGATCGGTCGGATTTGTGATAGGTTGTATATCGCCATATGCTTCTTTCGACTCATTTATTTTAAACTCGTAAAAAAAATACATTTTGATTCGTCATAGTTTCAACAAGTTGATTTATACCACAATCCATAAAACTATTGGTTGTCAAAAAAGTTTTCCGGTATTTTTATTGAATTTTCAATTGGTCATAAAATTTTTTTTGATGACTCATGCACCTGTCTCTTATACACATCTAGATGTGTATAAGAGACAGCCTCTACACCAGCACGAAAACGTTGAAACCATCGTTGTGCGGTGGAAATGGAAACTGTATCGGTTCTATAAGCTGCAAAAATTTTATTGTCGGCTTGAGATGCATTTTTGCCTTTATCGTARTAGTACTGTAAAATATGCCGTATTTTCTCTTTATTTTGCTCCATGTTTGCGACGCTATAACTCACGAACGACTTAAAAGAAACGAAAATCAATCAAACACGTGTTAGCGCGTGAAATGAGCTTTCCAAAAAGGTATAGCATGACCCGATGCGCGAATAAAACTAGAACAACGCGCTCTCAGCGCCAACTAGCAAAAATACCGCAAGACTTTTTTGACAAACTAATATATYGGAAACCGAAGAAGCTTACTAAARTAATTTTTGTTCTGATTGTACCGAGGCTTAATTTATAACCTACAAGGTTTGCAACACTCACAAAACTTTCCTTTTTCTTTTTAAGTAGTTCACAAATTCTCTCAAATCAAATTTGATGACAATAAAATTCAGTCTTTTACCGACTGCCGTTTGATATAGTTGTTAGTTTTTTTTTTATATTTTTTATACTTTTTGTACCGTTTTATAAACATTTTTATATTTTTTTTTACAAATTTTTTACACACTTTTTACTTTTCTAAAATTTTGGAAAAATGGATCAAGAAAGCGACTACGCTGAAGAGTACGAAAATACTGAGTCCGAGCCACATTTTCAAACCGAGAATGCTGATCTACACAGATCGCATGACCCACAGCTAGATGCAAAGAACCGAAGGTCACGCAGTTCAAGTCGGACTGGTAAACAATCGTTCCGCGCTTCAAAGATTACCACTGACGAACTTAATCGCGCTGGTTTCCAAATCAGATCTAGTTTAGAGTCATTCTACGATGAGGATTACGAATGTGAAGATTTTTTGAACAATGATGAGCACTTGGTGCAGTTAGAACAAACGCTGCGAATGAGTTTTTTGGATAAATTTGCGGGTTTACCAAATATCGATGAAATTTCTTCCGAGTCCACCGAAACTATTATCGAACAAGTGGAAGAGAAAACAATTGATATGACATTATCGGGTAAATTTGTCGATCCACTAACCGGCTTAGATATAATAGAATCCGATAAAGAGGATGAATATGAATATATGGAAATCGAAGAGTCTTACGAAGAGGAAGACGAAGGTTACGAACCATTCGATATTACCGAAGATAGCGAATTACTACAACTGCTGGGACATGAGGTTCCAGAAGAACCTGAAGAAGTCGACAATGCACTATTCGATTTGGATTATATACAGAAAATCATGCAAGCTGTAGACATGCAGGATATCGAACAGCTCATTGTGGAGGATACACGGCGGCAAAATGAAGAAATCGTTGCTGCTTTCATTGAAGATCTATTTCAAATAGTTGCCAAAGCAACTCAATATAAAGATCCGCAAGAGATATTGCGTAAGTCCGTCGACAAGCGTCGGCTAATGGATGAAATCAATGAAAAAGTTCGAACACTCGAAATGGAGCAGGGCGTGCGTTTATATCTCAATCGCAAAGTCGTCGATCATCATAGGCGTAAGCATATGTATCGCGCAATAATAGAGGATTCTGCCGAAAATCTGGAGTTTCAAATGGCAAAATATCACTCTTTTTTACAAAAATACAAYGAAGTATTGGGCAAAGAGGAGGAACTTGAGCGTGTGACCAAAACCAAAATTAACAAATTGCATGAGACATTCGAGGAAAAACAGTGTCAAGTGGATGAGAAGATTAGCGAGTTTGAGGCGCTTGCTTACCGCGTGATACTACAAAAACAAAGAAGGGACATGAACGGCGGTGAGATCGATTTGAATGTATTTAATAGCGCAGAAAATGAGGAACGCTCCAGAGTAAGCTGACGAACTAGTAGGTGRYTAAAATAAAGTGCTTTGCAAGGTTTTAATTTTTCAGATTATATCTATATTTTTRAAGAAAATGGCACTGGCGCGCAGGGAATTGTCTAAAGTTCGACTTATCTTAATCAAAAAGCAGCACGTGTTCACTGATCTGCAAACAGTAAAGAAAATAATTTTATGTCTAAGCTTTGCTTTTAGTATACTTAATTTTTYTAGCGTCTCAATCAAATACAAAACATCGGCAATGGGCTAAAATTATTTCAATTCGAAAATCTGCAAAACGATGTCATACAATTGTTCAAGAAAAATGATGGTGTGTACTTATATACATATCTAATTTACCGTTTTTTTTTTGATTTGTATTAAATTTTGCTATTCCTCATTACCGTGGCAGAACGCGACTCAGAGTTGGCTAAAGCACGAACTCAGCAACAACTCGACGTTCACATCAGCTCGCAYCTGAGAGAGCGCGTACTAATGCTGCGCAACAGATTGAGTGTTCAGAAGTTAACCTTCCGCGAATTATTGAGGCAATCGCAAATTGCCCGACGCAATTTATATAGACAGAAGCAGATACGGGCACAAATCCGTAAAGGAATCAAAGAGTGCACCTTTCAAGGTGGTATATTGTCGAAGCCCTCACTGATGGTTGATTATGATCGAACTGAGCAGGCGATAGATGAGAAAAGAATAMTCGTTGAAGCTTTACGTAGTCAATATAAGAAAATAGTCGATAAAATTGCGTACTATGAGCAAATGCTAAATTTAAGATCCTCAAATAAATATGTTTTAGGAAAGTGAAAAATAGTGGTTTCCATGTTTTGAAGCAGGAAATGTGATTAATATTTATAATCGCATAAAGTTTGGTTTTAAAAATAAGTTGGCAGTTAGCGTAGACAGTGATTTTTCGCATAGAATAACATCTTTTTTTAGTTTTCGTTGGTGATCACATTTCCGGAACTATCTTTTTTATCATGTGATGGTAAATATTAGAAGGCTTCGTCTTCGATATTTTCCCATGCGAAATAGAAAACCGAGGACGGTCAGGGTTTACAACTGCCCTGCTAAAGATGATATACCATCTGATCAAATTTGATTCGGACTAACAAAAAAAAAAAATTAAAAAAAAATAAAAAAAAACGCATATTTTAAAACAAAACTTTATTATTTCTTTCAAATACATTTTCTATGCTTGTTAGCAGCTTCGGCTAACATGACCTTCAATCCTTTCAGCGAATTTTGGTCTTTTCGGTTTCCGCTCAGTTTTGGAACGCTATTTACTAATTGTTTGACAGTCTCGATCTTATATTCATAAACCCACACCTCACTAATAGCTGCCATGCGACTGACGAATATTGAAGTACCTACAGAAAGTGAACCCTAGCTCCACTGATGGAGCTGAAACATCACACCCCTACCCTAGATTACAGTGTTTTAATGCACTCAACATGGTAAAATAAGTTTGCCAGCAAAGYTTGTAAACCCAAAAGGCCATGTCGGGAATCCTACAAAATATATATATCTAAACAACGTGATGAGTTGTGTCGATTAAGCCATATCCGACTGTTTGTCTGTCTGTCCGTCTATTCATCTGTCTTCAGTTTTTGAAGTTTCGATTTGAATTTTTGCCCAAGTCCTTTTCTCTCAAAGAAGCAGCTCATTTGCCAAAACACCGATATCGAACCACTATGGCGTACATCTGCCATACAAACTGAAGGATCGGAATCAAGTATATATGGAAAACTTTTTCGTGGGAGGAGATGGCACGGTTTATTTTTTATTTAAGGCTATGTTGCAATTTTCGATTTGTTTAGATCGAATTATTAAGTCATTTTGTCGATCCAAATCAAGTTCCTGTACAGAATATYTTGTATTTGTGAAGGGTATTTATTATAACTTGAGAGCAGCAACGAAGTTTACGTTTTTCATGTTTCATTAAGTTTTTTCGTTTGCCTTATTTATGATCATGATTCAATTATTGAAGGTTGTGTTGTTGTTTCCTCTCACCAAAGAAGTGTTTGTATCTATAACGTCAAAATCTGTTGTCTTTTGTTTTCCTCATGAATTTTATACATATTTACATTTTGATGATTTTGTGTTATTTATACTCTATTCGCATTCAGTTATCACTCCAAAAAACGCAATTGCATTGCTTGAAATTTTTCAAAACTTTATTCTTGAATCATAAAACCAAAAAAATTCAGGAGAAAATAGCTTATTTTAATACTATATTATGGATTCAATTACTTATGACAAATTGTTGTTTTTGGACTATCGACACAACCTTATTGTGTCTTATGATCATCAAAGTGTTTATGTTTTCTCTTCTCTTTTCCATTTTAAGTACTGTTAATCAAATGATCTAAAAGCGATTAATATCTGTCAGTCCGGGATCCTTACTTGGATTTGTTTGTCAAATTAGTACATACGTGTTGGCAGTGACTCAAATATTTTAGAATATTAATGCAAATGAAATTTGTTTTCTTTTAAGCTACAATAGCTTGGAAGTATATTTTAAATGATCTAGATTTATTGCATCTTTTCTTATATTTACTGCCGGCTGTGACTAAATACCAAGATTCGTTTTTTTATTGCAATAATAGCTACTTTCAATTAACAAAACAAGAAAAATCTTCTATAAGAGAGTATACTCAGAATAGCTTTTGGTTTAATAATACTCGAACTTGTCTAAAATTTATAAAATGAAACTTGGTAATATGGAAGAGAACTAGTACACCGGTTAAATGATCGAAAAACTCTCCTAGTTTGAATTCTACTCGAGTTTAATTGTTTCATATATATGCTTTATCACAAAAGGGCGTACTTCAAACTTAGTGAACACATTAATATCACATCAAAGAAAGGTTTTGACTGATTCCACGCCAGTTGCTAACAAGCTCTTCAATTCCCTTCTACTACTCCTGATGTGTTGTTATATTTCACCTATAGTGAGTAGAGCTTTTTGACCACCATTCCCATTCACCATTTAGCAAATTTAATAATATACTTTAAACTTAAAGTTAAGATTGTGAGACTGCAATATACAAAAAGTTTCCTTATGTTTTCTTGGTAGTATATTTCGAAGAAACATGTTGRTAACACCCTATCACTGAAAAGTCCTTCGTAAGAATCCTTCAAGTTGACAAAAGCTGCTTATTAAAACAGTTAAAATTTTAGCGGWACATGACACGTACAAACGTTACAGCAATTTGTGAATTTCCCTGCAGACTGTTGTTCACTTTCGTGCGTTTGGTGCGCWCTCGGTAACGTATACGCAGCTGTGTCCTAATGCATTTGCATTTACTCTTACATGAGTTGCTTGAACAAAATACAGGTTTGCATATATTAATGGCGTCTGTTATATTAATCATTTCATGTGTGAAAAACTACTTAAATTCTATATTCTTCTACTTAGTGTAATGCAATCTGCTAATGCGTGCATTGGTTTATATATGCACAATGGTGGATATATGGAGTTACGAACTTTTTCTTATTTGTAAATAATTTTTTAGAAAATATACGCATTTTTATTTGTTTTTCACTAAAAGTTGCAACAAAATATATATCTTTCTACATGTTTGTTATAAGGCATTAAGAGATAAAGAATTGCAGAAAAGTTTCCTCACACGAGTCATCCATCAACCTATGTTAAAGTTAATAGTAAGCACTGATCAGGCCTTTGTTTCTGTCCTTTGTGTATTCCGTAAGCGAAGTATTTAACGTGTTGGAAATATATAGTTTATGCCTAAAAATTCAACATATGCTCGTATAGACGTAATTCCTAAAGTTTACCCAACTTTAGCATTGTTGGCCTTCGTACGTAATGTAGGCTTTTGAACTGGATGCCCCAACATTGCCCTTTGCATGCAATTAAAAGTAGATTTCCTGCAATATTCTTCACTACAATTTTCAATGAAAACYGTAAACGAGAACTTCATGACAATTGTGAATGACAATGAATAAATATATCGATTTGAGTATAGACATCACCAGCGAGCGAAAACCCAAAAATGTTTGCATCGGCCAACATTCCAAAGTTCACTAAGGTCTGAGTGACGTGAAGAAGTCACGCCATTTGAGCTTTACCAAATTGAATAGTTTAGAATGMGCTGTAAAGGAAAATCGTTGAATAGCCTGTCTGCCACGATGAAATTGGATTCTTAATCGAATTCAACAACTGGAAAGCCAATATACCACATTTCGGTATGCATACATAGTTGTATGCACTGCACAATAAAGCTGTAATCGGAGGAATGTGAGTGACTGTGTGATTGCTTATAGTCTGTGCTTGTTGTGTGCATTTATAAACATCCAGTTGTACAGTTGAAAGTCGCCAAGCGATTTCTGGCACTGCCGCGACAAAGTCTCCTTTTGACTGCAGGAACCTCATGGTGTGTGATCTGCTTTAAGCTTGCGCTTACTGTTGCATAAATATTGATTAACGGAAAAAAATTTAAAACAACTGGAAGTCCAGCAAACAATTTTGGTTATGTTTCATTTTTATATTTCCACTGAGAGTTTTTGTCTTATTTTCCAAGTGATCCACAATCATGCGTCAGGTCGAGATAAAATTCGAGTTTCCGAAATGGTAACTGGTAATTCATTAACAAAACAAAAAAAAGCCGATATCTAGGATGTCCGTCGAAAAATGATGTCTGACGGTGAGGAAGACGATATTTAATAGTTTCGAAGGAAACTACCTAACCAACTCCAAGAAATTCGCTTAAAGAGGAAAGGTTTGGGAGCCGATTAAACTAAGTTGCCTAATTAACTTAAATTTTTTTCTGAGAAAATTCTCAAATATGGAGGGTGAACCCATGYTTAGAGGTTCATGCAAGTGAGGAAAGTTTTGTGAGCGTCATTCATTTGGGAGTGGGCAGAAACGATTATTTTACATATGCCTCATTTTACATATGACCATCGCTTAGACCGTCGTTCATCGCATAGAAGATTCCAGAGAGCATATTGTGCGAAACAAACAAAAAAAACTGCTTGGATCGAATCAGTGTGGCTTTAGGTCTTGAAAATCAACAACTGACCAGTTATTCACCATACGCCAAATTTTGGAAAATATCCGTGAAAAGAGGATAGACAAGATTCCCAAAGATATCTATATTCAATATACAAACAAGAAATCAAATTCACAAGTCAACTTAATCTAATTTTATAGTATTTTTTTCTRTTGGTTTTGCGGTCTTTGTTGACTGGTGTACGTTTTATTCGACCGCCATTTGTAATATGTTACTTCCATCGGACTGCATATCTTTGCATGATATGCTTCGTATTGATTGGTGACATCTGTTGACGTTCAAATTCGAAATTCGTGACACGTTTTGGGAACGTGGCATGTTTACATATATAATATGAATGTGGGTTTATATGAATATGAGAGAAGATGCATGTATTGACATTAGTTTCTGCTCAAACTTATAATTCGTGGTTTAGGTTAACTTGGAATTTGGAAAGACATTTTCTCCTTCAGAAATTACTTGTTGATCAATTGAAACTAAAAACGGTTGGTCGCATTCGAATTAGAATTTTATAAAATCGGTCTACAACCATTTTCAATTGAAATATTTTTAATATGATGAGATATTTTTTCTAAAATAGATAAKTAATGAAACTATTGACAAAAATCTTACATTTAAAAATAACCGAAATATGAATAAATATACATTTTCAAACCTCCTGTTAATAAATAAGATATACAAGTATGTATTAAATCTAACTTCTAAAATAATGATTTTTATATTTATTTAAGTCAGAATAATCCCGAAAGGGAAACGAGTTGTATTCTTACA